CCCCCACTTTGTTCCCCCAAAAGATGAAGAAACATTGGGGAGAAAAAAATGTTCAATATTTTCAACATATTAGTAGAATATCTACATTATAAAATTGATTAAATAAGCATTTTAAACCCCTAAATTGCCATATTTTTCGGGGGCTTCGTCCACTGGACCACTTTCGAGACATTTTGAACGACGCCTAAGATTTACAGATGCAATTTGAAATGTGTACTGGAATTCTGGATTTATAAGATACATGTTAATGACTGCTATGCATTTAAAAATTTATCGTTTTCAGGCGGAGGAAGACAAATGAAGGTGAAGACAACATGGCCACAGGTAGTCCACAGAAAAGGCACAGAAAAAGAAGGAGGAAAAAAGTGTTTACGATTAATCCACCCATAGCAAGAAAAGAGACACAACCTCAGTCAAATGTAAACAATTTCAATGAACTTTGGGTTAAACTACCTAAAGGGAGGTAAGTTAAGTTAATTAATAAACAAATATTAAAAATATTAACAATTTAAAATACTGAATACTTTTGATAGGAATTTCAACAGCTATAAAAAAAATATTGTTAACGTTTATATGAAATGTTGGCCTGGATTGAATAGGCCTATATAAATTTATAGTTGGGATGCCGATGAGATACAAAAAACATACTTTTAACAGTTCTGTTAATTACTTTTTCGATGTCTGTACCATTATCGCTATGGCAGATCGCAGAATGCATTCTACCAACGCAGCAAGATTGGTAGTTTGGGGAGTAGGGTAGATGTGTTTGTCCATCTGGTTAGTGGCAGAGTGTATTATTGAACAGGATAACCTCTACACTATGCGTGCAATCCAATGCAATTGTGTAACGCAGTTACCTTACCAACTGGCTTGCATTGCGCAGATGGTCTCACATTTCAAAGTCATTTTTCATCTTGTCTCAGTTTTTATGAAACATGCATTTTAGAAAATCTATGCATGATAATTAAAAACTTGGAAGTTTTGACTTGGCATTACCAAACATATTTCTTAGGTCAAGATGCCCTGTATGACTGTCTAGCGGCTTATTTTTCTTGAAAGTATTCTTATTGGGGATGGGGCATCCAAACCCTCCCCCCGCTCATCCCTGTGGTCCTTGGAGGGTGCTACACACCATACTGTAGTACAACTCTTGCCCTTCCTGTCGGGGATGTTGCCTTGCCATCAGGGAAATCATAGCTCCGCCACTGCTTTTATCCCAATAAACTGATTTAGAAACTACTTAAGGATACATGATCTGATTTTAAATGTCTTTTTACTTGATATAAATACCTGATAATTGATCCATTGCTGTTTGTGTACTCTCAAACTGTGAAGTGTTTCTGCATTTGTTGTGCAATTTCCAGAAGTGTTTTAGAGTCGTTAAAGTGACCAGCAAACAGGCACTGAATATACCTGTTTGAAACCCAACTTCTGAAGGACAACACTTATCTCTAAGTAAACACTAACTGTTAACTTAACAATTACATAGCAGTTTCAAGAGACTATTAAAAAATACATAAGTAGGCTTGATGGTTTTTGAGGCTTAGATATTGATGCTAAGTGAGGTGTAGAAACCATTAAATAATTCTTATCTCATGCCAATCCTTTTTATAGTTGTTAAACCATGGAGGTATATTTTGTGACCTGGCCTCTATCACAAGCGACTGATAATGAGTCTTGTTGAATCTCGCATTGAATTGAGGATACTAGCTATGAAATAGTTTAGAATAATTAAAATAAAATTGTGTTTTAATGCCATGACTTTTACAAGCTCTGCCTAGTGGCAGATCCAGAAATTTGGAATAGAGTGGACCCATTGAAGAATTACAGTACAAAGATACAGTATGGTATTAATACCGTACCTCACCCAACCAGGGTTGGGCCTTTGTGTAACAATATACAGTACATGATCATAGCTCTTTAGATGGCCGGAAATGACACTCTCAGACTTAACTTTTAAACATTTTAATTTTTTATATAATTTTGAAAAAATTAGCGGGGTGGAGGTTTTAGGCTGGCTGGGCCCTCCTTGAATTCGCCTCTTCTGCCCTGTAAGTCAAAACAAGTTTACATATTATGAAAACATACTTTTTTCAAATTATATCTATTGATATATTATCAGTGGCCAATTAATTGGCAGGACACAACGAACAATGTACACGTTATTTGCACATTATCATCTAGGTGTATCTTTTCTGAACTACCAGCCATAATAAGTTTGTGGATAATTAATAAACGCTAGAATGTTACCTTGTTTTTTATGAGTATGTTGTACAATCTAAAGTTCAGTCTATTGATAAACTGAAAACTGAGAAAATAGCTACTGTATGTGTTTGTGATTAATAATGCCATGGTTGGCCAGTAATAATAATAAAAGTAAAAAAAATTATCTGCACAATGATTATAAAGTTAAATCATTTATCATTTTGAGAGCTATGAGTGAAGTCAATTCAGAAAAGCAAGGAAATTTGAAATTTGTCTTAATATGAGCAATGCCATCCCAAAACCAGCATACAGTCGCTGTGTGTTAAAATTAATTAGTGTATAGTGTGGCAGTATGGCCTATACTTTAATAGAGATCCATAATACTTTTACTCATAACTGGCAATAATGAGTCGATTCCAGTAAATGACCCATTAGTTTGTGCGGAGAATATGAAGAAATTGAAAAGTCAATTTTCGTTTTTTTGCCATTGATGCTGGTTTGGGATGGTAGCTCCATATGCATTAGAATTTTGTTCAATAAAACCATTCTGGTATAGGCACAATTCAAACTAAGTCAAACTAACCAGGCAGGCTTTGATAACTTTGTTTTCAAGGCAGTTCACACTGGGTTTAATTTTAACATGATTGCTTAGCAACATCCTGAAAAACTTAACTAAAAGTCCAATGTGAACACAGCTTTCAAAGGCTTAGTAGAGAATTTGGAGGAGGGGGAATGTCACGGATGAATGGTTAATAAAACAACATTGTACTAGTACCAATCAGCATAAGGCATAGACAAACATACTTTGTACTTAATGAAAGGCCCTCTTCACATACCAATCCTTGTCTAAACTCCCTGTTTGTTTAAGCTCTAAATATTGAATGACCTCCGCAAGACGACCCCTTGATTCAATTAGGATTTCTCAGCATCTTTAGATCAACAAATAATCCACTTCCGCTCCATGGGACTAGAGGCGTTAATCAGATGCTGGCCAGGATCAGTGCTAGCTTGTCTAATTTAACATGCAAATCAACTGATGTACATACATTCCCTACTAGCTTCATTCCTGGAAAATATGTGAAATAGAATGAAGTAATCTAAGTAAATTATCATGGATTGATGGCTAGTTTCACGTCCCCACCCTCATCAAATTTGAGAGCCTCATGAAAAAATTTAATAATTTTCCTAATAAACTATCATTTTCCATGGATAATAAAAGTAATGAAACTGAGAGGTTGTTGTCAAAGCTCAAGAAGAGTTGGAAATATAATGGTAGAATACACTAAAAAGCTTCATTTTAGGCCAACTTCTTTTATAAAAAAAAAAAGAAGAAAAAAAAAACCAAACCCAATTTTTTCTTTACTAGCCTGTTTACCACTAGTACATAGGATAGTGAAAAGCAAATAGTAAATGCCCTCACCAAAATATAATTTCAAATTCTCTATTGTGAAACTAACAATTAATTTTGTTTGGCCTAATTAATAGAAGTAGACTTCTGTAAGTTCAACTTAGTTGTAGTGTAGTTTAATATGATACACAATGTAACAGCAAACAAATATAGATATTTTTGCAAAATGAAAAATCATACATACAGTATAAGAGGTATAGTTCTTTGTTTTAATTAAATTTATACTCTAATTAAGGACTGTATTCATATAATTTTTTTTAATTCATATAACTTTTTCATTCATTTTCACCCTAGCCCCTTCCCCGCTTTGTGCGCCATGGAAAGTATGTATAAAATTTGCAACTTGAGCTAGTGCCAGAAGCCTTCAACTCAACAATGACATTTGCTTCTAAACTGAAGAAGAATATTGTGAAAATAAATCCTGTAAATGAGTTTTAATATAGCCTCACATTTTCCTTCTTTTCTTGCAGTGCTTCAACACCTCCAAAAGGTGAAATACAAGCTGCCAAAGAGCATGGAGCAATGCTGACGACCGTGGCCAGTCCCCTGCTAGCCTACAGTAACATCTACGTCACCTACGTACCAACCACAAGTGGATCAGCATGCAGCTTTACAACTGACAACTTTATTATTTCTCTTTTACTTATATTACTAGTATTACATTCATATATATTGTGATGAGAAAGTAAGATGTTTATATAAAGGAAGATCTACATACTACAGATGGCGATTACTGATGAAATCCCTCCCTTTGCAACCCTACCCAAGACTACTAATAACTATGGTTTTCTCCTTCTATAATGTGAAATGCATGTGTTATACTATATTGTGTGTCTTGAGCTACAAAACTTGACTATTAAATTCTATATTTGAATAGATGACTTTGTTAATCAACTTTCAAATTTTTCGAACCAAAATGTATTTATGCAGCCTGTAAACAGTGTGAAGTACATGCATCCTGGACTTGCGGTGACTTCATAGTTATTTACTTCAATGATCTTATTATATTAAGAAGATACGCTCTCTGCAGTTACATGATAGAAGACGCCATTCACGCAGAAAGCAACTGAAAGTAATAGTAATTAAGAGAGGGCGTCCTAGTTGCTATACCATTTTGTTACAGAACTTGCACGCAAAGACCATAGATGTTAAAGTTGAAAAAATATTGTAATTGTAAAGGGCGCCCTACAATGCGTTGTTACAGGATTTGCATGCAGAAATTGCAGAGAACACTATCATGTTATAAGTTTTTTGATGTACTCATATTTGGCTGAGCGAGGGCGCTATTTACATGTGAGGATATAATTCAAAACCTATAAATAATAGTATTCTCTAAGTCTTAATGAGTGCTATCTTTAAATTACAAGTTTAAATGCCCTTATGAAATCAAGTGAGGGCAATATAACTAATTTATGCAAATTGAAGGAGAATAATTTATAGCTGTAGTTACCTTGCCTCATGTTTTTCATCTAGAAAAGATGAAATCTACATGATTTCCTGATTCATCATAATTAATGCCATTTTCTACCTATCAAAAAATGATAAATGTGACTTATTAAACATTCACAGCAGCAATACACTGTAATGGATGACCATGTACTTACTAGCTTTAGCTTCAGACCAAATTTACATCATAACTTTAAAAGCTTGTTGATGAAAATAAGGCATGGTAAAATTCAATGTAGCCTGTCAACATTTTCTAATATCAAGAGAATAATTTGTAAAATTATTGTTGCCAGATAAAACAGCATATCTTTTGAATTGTCATGACTTTTAAAAAGCTTTTGTTTTATCTACAATTATGTATATAATACTTCTGTATCTATACTGCCAAACAAATCTTGTTCTAGCTATAAAAAAAAAAAAAGATTTTAGTTTTTTACAATTGTACAAGTTTGGATATAAACCTAGATTTGAGAAATTTATTGATATACAGTAATACTTATTTTGATTACCAGTATGGTTATTGATCTTGTTATAGCTATTATTTATATTTCTTTGTAATATATCTGTATATTATCTGTATGGGTACAAAAACAAAACTAAACAAGGCTACGATATATACCATAAATGTAGTAACCATGGTTACCATATGAATTGTCATGGTACTGTAAGAATATTGAAACTTACCATGGAGATGGTAGTTATAGTAACAAAGCATCATGTGCATCTTGCAAGGAACATGTGTGACTTCTTCAGGACAGAAAGTGGTTTATATTGGAAAAATTGGCATTACATGTGGCAAAGACAAGCCAAACCAGTCACTCGTCGCCAATCCTGTTTTGGAGATAATGGCCAAAACATGCTGGAATTTCAAAATTTTGGAAATCAATTTTATTGCACTAAACTAACCTTTATATATCTACACATCATGCTATGTTGTTATTTTCCTCATTTTCAATGTTAAAACAACAATTTTTAACGATTTGGTGATGGTTTCTGCCTAAGAAATGCCTGAAATCATAAACTTTGAAGGCTGATTTCTCAAATATTGTTCTTTAAACAGCTGTATGTTTAAACTCGTGTATCTTCATAACGAAGTGTCGGATTTAAATGATTCTTTTACCATTTTATAGCTCTCATTTTACAGTTAAACCCTGTATTAATAACTAAAAATTGATTTTTCTGACGAGTGACTGGTTCGGCTTGTCTTTGCCACATATTTCCACCAGAGTAGACGTATTATCGACTCAGTAATGTTATTAGTATTAGATTCAAAAGAGGTTTTATCATATTAACTATCATTGCCAGAAAACTGATCATAAAAATGATATGAACTTTGAATTTGCCATTGTTGGCATCATTTTATCAGCTTTATCATTATCATTATCATCACCATCATTCATCATCATCTTCATCATGTGCACCATCATTTTATGACACAACATGTGTATCATCATCTCTTTATGACACAACACATTTACCACAATAATGATGCAAGCAACATTCTCAATGAATTTATTATGGCAAATTATAAATATGAAACAAATATATAATACCATTGCTGTAAACGTTGTCTTGCTATTTGGCTTTAATAAAATCTCTTTTATCTACTTTCCATATTGTTTTCCTTTCAGATGCAAATAGTACGGCTTTATGTAAATAGAAATTAAAAAAAAAAAACCTTATGTGACTACTGTAAAGTAATAGTGTAATAAAAGTAGGTGTATTCAAGATGGTGACGAAGTGAGTAGTTATAGTAAGTACGAGAACTCACATGAGTTTGGATTGCGCACAAACGTATTCAAAGGTAAGACTTACAGTGGCATAACCAGGGTTTTTTTACACCCTCCTTTTTGTTCTAACATGAAAAAAATAATAGTATAATAATGGAAATAAAATGAAAAAATAAGTTACTTTAACAATAAATTTATGTTGTAGCCATAGCCATTGATATTCCCCGTCTCCAGTTTCGCACCTTGCGTAAAGTTAAGTGGATATAACATTTCTATCAAGCACCCTTTTCAAAATCCTGGATACGTCACTGATATAATAATTAGGAATCTGTTTATACAAAAGACAGTACAGTATTATAGTTCACTGAGGCATTTAAGATTCCACCTTGACTCTGACATTGTAAGTTGCCAATCCTTTTTATTCTCTTAAATGAAAAAAATAGGCCTATGTATGGTATTTACTATTAAGGAAAGTGAAATAGTATATACTTTTGACAGTGATAATAATATTGGGAATTTATATAGCACTCATCGCTTCTTCACAGAAAGTTGTATAAAAACCCAAATATAGAAAATTAGTGCAGAAAAGCAAATAAAAATTGAAGACCTTCATGCAATGATTTACTATTGAACAAAATATACACCCACAGAATTTACTACTGATCAGTGTGTATTGTAATTACTATTGAATGGTATGTATAGTGTTTACTATAAACAGCATTTACTTTGAACATTGAATAATATGGTATTTACTATTGAAAATGTATGTTACTTAACTATATTGAACAACATGAATTCTGTTTACTACTGTACAACATTTGGTATTTACTATTGAAGGACATGTGTGGTATTTACTGCTGAACAATGTTTATAGTACAGTATTTACTACTGAACAACATTAATGGTATTTACTATTGAACAACATGTGTGATATTTACTGTTCAACAATGTTTATTATTTTAACTACTGAACAATATGTATAGTATTTACTACTGAAGAACATGTATGGTACTTACTATTAAACTACACTTTCTATGCGTATGAAATTATTTTAAGTTATGGCTTCCATTATTTGTTAAAACTGTTTACAGTATTTCCTTTTTATGATGATTGAAATGCATATATCTGGAACCCCCAACATGCAACCATACAAACTACAGAAAACATCTTTACTACAAATCTAAATTCATTCATCTGAAAATAAAGAAAAGAAAAAAAAAAAAAAATCATTAAATTAATGTAACTAAAAATACCATGGTTGGGCTGAGGTAATAAAAGTGATTATTGTGCGCCATACCTAATTTAATTGGCGTCCCATACTCGATTTCTTTTTTTTTCGAATTAGGGCCTGGGCAAACGATTCATGCTAGACTTGCCACAAGTCTCTTATTTTTTTAAATTATTTTTCTCATTCTGGACAGCGCCACCAACGAGAAAGTTAATTTAGAGATAGACGGAATAAGCGACTTGTAAAACACTGAAGTCAGGCACCAACGTAATCTTATATTCCGTATTTGGATAAATGGGCGGACCGAAATAAACAATTTCAACCAATCAAATGTTCATATTTTTGGAGCCACGAAACTGAGTCACTCGCCGCTCGCGTCGACTAGTTAGGCATGACTAAATTTAAATAGTCCTCCCTAATAAAACGGGCCTAAAATATTTAGAATAGACCATAGTAAGACTTATTTTGGAAATGGCAAAAACAATTAAGCCTAGACGGCATACCATACAGATACAACAAAACTTTAACTTTCCAGGAGGATGGCTCAGGCCTCGTCTGAGTAGTAGGCCTAGCCTAGCCTAGACTCTAGTAGAGGCTTGGCGTATTTTTAAGTTCTAACTTACAGAGGCCTACCTTTTTAACAATATTCTACTCTAAAGGCCTAAATATGTAGCAGCTAGCGGTGAGCAAGTTTCCTAAGTATAGCCTACGGTTATCAGTCCATGTCGTTCTCAGCAGGCCAGAACTATATACTAACTGTTTTTATTCAAGTATAGGTAGCCAAAAGGGAGCTGGTTAGCTTGTTCTAGTCGAGACATCCGCATCTTCAATTTTGAAAATTTACCAAGATTGATTAATATGCATGAAGTTAGCCAATCACGTGATTTACAAAATCAGTCATGCATACGATATCCCACATCAAATTTGATGTGGGAAATTGCACGCATGAATCGTTTGCCCAGGTACGGAAGCTTAAAGTGACCTTCCGAGTTTCCGAGTTTCCAAGATAATTATCTTGGAAACATGGAATAAACACTTATTAAGACGTCTTTCCGAGATAATTTATCTCGGAAAGACGTCTTTCCGAGATAAA